CCTACAAAAACTTTTTTTTTATCCCACCTGCCAAAACCAAATCCCTGCTTGGGGGGAAAAATGGCTAGCTCAAAAATATTTTTTTTTTTTTTTTCTGAAACAGAAACTCCTACGTAGTGTCATCTTAAGTTTTCGGCTTCAAAGGTAAATGGAAATTATTGTTAAGCAATAAAATCTGTTTGTAAAGCTATGAAAGGGGAGAGTTTTCTTCATGTAAGCCTACAGATGCAGAGAATCTGAGTTGAATACAAGACCAGTTGTGCATGACTGCCTGTAGTTGCACTTGGTCTACAAAATGGATGCAGGGAGAAATGGGTATACATGTGACTACCACATACTGTCATCTTGTCTTTCTAATAGATACTTACACAACTAAAAAGCACTCATGTAACAATGTATCCTGAAAACATGCAGAACAGACACTCAAGAGGCGGACAGCCACCATCAGAGAGATAGTATTGAGTATTACGTAGTTCTTTATCTATGAGAGAAAAATGTATCATTAACTAAAAGGCACCAGAGCTTGATAAATTTAAATAAGATGCAAGCTCTAAATGAGGAGGAATAACCATGGGAACAGACTACCCAGGGAAACAGTGAATTTTGTGGTGTCAGATCAAGACTGAGTGTCTTTCTGGAAGGTAGGCTGTAGCTGAAAGCTAGATACTGGGCTCAATTCAGGGGAAAACAAGAAAAAAAAGGATAGGTGAAATTAAATGGCTTGAAGTATACAGGAAAACATGAAATGACTGATTGATCTCCAGTAGCCTTAAACCCATGATTCTACAGATCATTATAATCCACTAAGTATACTAATCACCTGCATTATGACTGAAACTCTCAGCATACTTTTGGTTACGCCGACTAGACCAGTTTTGGCACCCTTTGAATCTATTTTCAGCTGATGAGATTAAACGCTCTGCGCGGTCCTACCTCTTTACAGTTTAACCTTGAAATGTTTTCAGTCTCAGCAGATGTAGCCTGGGACTGTGTCACTCTGCATGTTCTCAGCCTTCATGAGAAGTGCATGGCCCTGGGTTTGCATGCCTGTATGCCCAGGGAGTCAGAGGGGTGAGAATTGCCATATGTAATGCAGAGCAACTGTGTCACACAACTGAGGGCAGGCTCAGAAGGGGTATGTGACAAAGGATGGCTCTGCATATAGTAGCTTTTGGACTTGCAAATGTTCAGAGTGACTATGCAGGGCACGTGAAGTAGATCCCATGCATGGTTTTGGGGCCCCTTTCGAGCTGGAGGACTGAGGCATGGCCTCCATCAGTCCACCCTGTGGAAAGCATGATCTTAAATACCGTACCATAGAGGGTCTGCACCCCACTCTCCACATTTTAGAAATAAGACCCTAGATTAACAGACTGCTCAAAGCTTACTGATGAAATGTTCTCGTCTCCTGACCTGCCATCCCTCTGCTTCTCTCTTGGAAGTTACATCCTCCGAGGCACTTGCGAAGCCTTATATTTCCTCCTTCAGAAATCATAGAATTTCTCGATCATTAGGGGCACGAGGAGAGGATGGGATTAGGCCGTTCCTGAGCAGGGAGCACGCAGTAAAGTCACCCGCGGACGCAGCGGTTGAAGCCGCCCTGCCGACCTCTCACGTAGGCCTGGGCCCGTTTGCGCTGATGGCGGTGACCGGTAATCGCCTCCCAG